GACAGCACGCTGGATCAATCCACGCTTGCCCCTCAGAGCAGGATTCAGCTCTGCCAGCGCCCAACCGACGGCATTGCATTCGGTTTCATAGACCAGCCGGTTCCCGCGATACTGGTCCTTACTGCAACAGGCGCGCGGGTACACGCAGTTCTCGGTTTTGAATTCTTGCGTGAGCGTGTCCACGATAACGGATTCCACATCACACCGGATGGTGTACTCCATTTTCACCCGGTCTCGGGAATATTCGAAGGCGATCCACTGCACGCCGTTGCTGTCTTGTCGCACGACCAGCGGGGTCGTGGCGGGAATGGGACCTGGTGCCGCGCTGGAGGTGGTGCCGCCTAGTGGTGGACTTGCGTGGGGATTGCTGCCTGGCATTGAGTGGCTGTTGGTTGCCGTGAGAGGAGGGTTCAGCATTGTTTGCTGTGGAGTGGTGGGGTGCTGGGAGGAATCGAGCTTCATGATGGGGCTACTAGACATGCCGGACGTAGGGAGGTGGGGGGATTGGTGTGGTGGCGCCTGGGATAGGGCTTTCTGAGGGGGCATCATTAATGGCTGTGTTGTGAGAGGATGCTGCTGGGAAGACTGGTGGGCCCCATACGGTGAGGGCTGAACTGGGTTCATGGGCGAATATGGAGGATAGCCGAACATCTGCGGTGGCATCTGTGGTGACTGCGAGTACATATTGCGGCCATGTTGTTCATGCGGCTGTGAAGCTACCGAGGCTGGTGAGCTGGATTGAGGGGTGTGGTAAATAGAGGGATAAGGTCTCTGCATTTGAGCGGTGGATGCCATGAGGTCAGGTGGCCCTGATCCTTGAGTATTAGTTGATGTCTTCGATAAGCCGAATGAGATGGATGACCAAGAGCGTCAAGAAAAGCCAAGCACCAGTGCGCCAGTTCTCAACTCCGACGACTTCCCACCAACGACTTAAAAAAAGAACTGGGCTTACCACTAGACGGGTAATGTGCTGACGCCGGGTTCGATGTATAGGGAGAATGGGTGGTGTAGTAGGGTGACTCTTGAGGTGACGGTCCGTAGGGGTTATGATGGAGGACTCCGTTTCCTAATTGAGGAGGTGGAGGGGGATATGTGGTAGGAGGAAGAGAAAGAGAAGGCTGAACAGGCGAGGCAGGGCCTTGCTTCTGTGGTTGTGCTAGGTTTGATCGAGGCTGTAATGTCTGAGACTGTTGAGAATCGGGACGCCCAGAGTTGTCGTGTCGGAGCTGCAGCAGAAATACACATCAGTTACTGGGACTTCGATAGCCAGCCCCGAAAGGTCGAAAGATACGAAAAGCAAGATTCGAGCCAGAAAATGCACGGTGCTACAAGCTGAGAACGTGGACGTAGGGAAGAAAGAAAAGGAACTTGTGAACACAGCCAGAAGTGTCCGGAGTGACATCAGCGTATGACCCCTCCGGTCTAGCGTGGGAATTTGAATCTTGCAGGTATGCGGAATCCCATCGTCATAGAGGGGAGGGGTTGGATTGGGCCACAGGTCAATGGAAATCCTCGAACAGGGATGGCCTTAGGTGAGTAACAAATGAGCCAGGATATAGCCGGGATAATCCGTCCAGGACCAAAGAATAACATGGATCTGTGTAGCGTTGGTGTGTCCTTGATATCGTGGGTGGGGGTTTTCTTTTTTTTCGGAGGGACAAAGCACTCAAGGCTGGACCATGTAGATAGCACCCCAAGCCGCTACACGGACTTTAGGCATTGGCTTTGCTTTTGTTGCTCCTCTCAATTGAAAACATTTTCTTTGGTCCATATGAGGCTCTTGCCGGAGCAGGGCTTTGGTGGGTCCGGAAGAGATACAAATGGGACGGAGCCCCATAAGTCATGGCCAGCAGACGCCAGATCGATCAGTGTCGGCATTCTGAGTCGGCTGTCTTCTGATCGAGGTATTGACAACGCTGCTCACCCTGCACAAGATCCAGGCTGACGAAAGAGAGAAAAGTCGAGAGAAGAGGAATCCAAAGTCGTGATAGACATCCAGGTGCCGCGAGAAGAGCCAACCCCACTGGACATAGAGCTGCCCGATAACCACATAGAGAAAGGACCGAGAAGGATAGGAATGATATTGAAGTAGGAAACATCTCACAAAATCTATAGTGCAGACAGGAAGTCGAAAGGAAAAGACAAGTACCGCGCAAAATATGGAAATGATACTCACGGGATCATCGATAGAGTCTTCCTTGTACTTCGCTGGAGGGCCAACGTCGGGCTGTACCATGCCG